CCCAAGAGAGCCTGAGAGATTAGAGTTGAAGACTGAGACTCCCTGGGTCTGCTCTGAGTTAGGCTAGGTACCCCCAGGTTCTTCAGTTTTAGCACATAAAGGACTTGGTTTTCAGTTCCCTCCTTACTGAGTCTCATCTTGTCCTTACCTGAGACACAATGCACTGGGGATGGTCTAATCAGACTTTAGGAGTAGGGTAACTGTCATCTTCTCTATTCAGGTTAACAGATCTTTATCAATATGGACCGCAGTTACAGCATTTTAATTTATTACCAGCCACACTCACACTATGGGCTCATGCTGAGATTGTGGTCCACTAAGACCCTCAACCACATATCATTTTCACATGAATGGAGGCCAAGCAGTCTTCTTCATTCTATGGATAATCACTTTGTTTTTTGAACACAGGGACCAGCCATCCACAGGGAAGACATCAGATAAAACTTCCAAGGGCTTGTGAGGAGGGCATGGCTGAGTGAAACGTATGAGTCATAATCCTGCCTTGGCCCTGGATCCCCTGTTCTATTACCTTTCTCTTTGATCGCCTTGGCTCTGGCCAAGTTAATAGAGCGAGAAGCAGGGACCTTTCTCGTTTCTGTTCCGGCTCTCCAAGGACGATGCCTATTCCTGGGACTGGAACGCTGTGAGGCCGTCAAGGCTGACTTCTCCTTCCCCTCCGATCTTGCGAGGGGCTGGCCCAACTATTTCTTCCACCTTGTGGGCTCATGCATCCCTTGGACTCTTGCTGCTCCCAGCCCCTCACTAGGCTAAAAAATGAGACTGGATGAAACCACTTCACTTTTGGGGAAAGTGCGTAGGACCCAGATTCTGCAGATATTTAGCTGAGCACCTACTCTGTGTGGATAATCGGGGAGGCACCTTTTAGGACTCGGTTTCATTTTATCTTCATATCAACCAGTAGGGGGAGACAGCCATAGTTGCCCCCAGTTTATAAATAGAAGACTGAGGCTCAGTGAGTTGACCTAATCACGCACTGCTAATAAACAGTGGATCTGGGATTCAAATTTGGGGTCTTTTTTGCCTGCTTGTTTTGCTTTGTTCTAATGTGGAAACTTGTGCTTTCACTACTATGTCAGAGTTGTCCTCGGCTAAAGGGCAAGAGACCTGAGGTCTAGTCTAGACTTGACCTCTTGCCTCACTGTGAGTTCTTTCCTAGGTCCATGGTCCTTCTCTGAGCCCCAGTTTTCCCCTCTGTAAGATGAGTGGACTTGGACATTCAAGGACCTTAAGAGTTGTTAGATTCTGAGATTCTAAGATCCTGGAATTCCAGTTCTGAGAGCCTTGGGCTCTGGTTTAAGCTCGGAGTTTCTAAAGCTCATATGGGACCACTCTGACCTGCCCTTTCCTCTCTTCCAGGATGCTTTGCTGAGCCTGGGCTCTGTCATCGACATTGCAGGCTTGCGCCAGGCTGTCAAGGAGGCCATTTCAGCCGTGCTCCCCAGAGTGGTAGGTACCTGGTTCCACATTTCCCCTGCCCCCCGAACCTTTGCCCAGCACCTTGCTGTACCTCACACAGGGTCAAGAAGAAAGAATGGGTAAGGGTTCCTGACCAGAGGAATCTTATGGGGAAGTGAAGAGTTTGGTTGAGTGTTTAAAGAGGGCTTCCTGGAGGAGGAGGGCTGAAACTAAGCCCTAAAGAATGAATTTATATAGGAATCCTGGAATGCCTGAGACAGAAGTGGCCTTTGAGCTTAACTGAAAAGTTCATGTCTCAGATAATGGAAGGGGCTCATCTAGGATAACAGCTAGGACATAGCAGCATCAGATGGGCTTTGGAATACGTACAGCAGGAGGAGTTGAGGGCAGACATGCAGGGAACTTCCTTGATGCTAGGTCTGGGAGATGCTGGAAAGGGGCTCAGCCTGGACGAATGGATCTATGCTGAGTTAAAGTGTCCTGCCTGGAGACTGGATGCTGGACAACATGACCTCTAGAAAGAAAGGTGGTTGCCTGGGCTCATGGTCACCTGATCATCATGGTTGCCTGAGCCCAGAATGTCTTGGTGAGGAAACTTTGACCCTCTTCAGCTGCCCCAGGCCACTCCTCAACCTGGCTTGAACAGTCACTGTTTCATCCTTTAGGCCAGGGGTAGGCAACCTTTTTTCTGCCAAGGGCCATTTGGATATTTATAACATCATTCAAGGGCCATACAAAATTACCAGCTTAAAAATTAGCTATGAAAAAAAGCTCCTAGATTTATTGAATTTTGAATCCCACCTGTGGTTGCTTTGGCAGGGCCAGACCAAACTGGCCCATAGGACCCAAAGCAGCAGAGTCTCAGTTGTGCCAGATAGAGGGAAGCAGAGGACTATCAATCTGGAGAGGGAGGTCTGATCCAGCCTAAGGGGCAAGGAAGACTTCTCCTGGAGGAGATGCCTAAACTGAGTCCCCATAGCCTGGAATGGGGACTGTACTCTAGATACCAGCCAATGGCAATCTCTGCTCCAGGAAATAAGGGTAATTCAGAAGGTGACCCCTCCACCCCTGGGGCCAGTTGCATCTGAATCTGCTTGATGGATAAACCACCTAAGGCCCAAAGAGGGCAGATGCTTCCCCCAAGATCACACAGCATGACAGGGACACATGGGGCTTGGCACCTAAGCATCCCCATTTCCTCAGCTCTGCCTTCTCAAAACCTCCTAGAAGTTCAGAGCCCAGGAGGGGGGTTAATGAGTGAGCTTCACTGAGTGTGAAATTGGCAGGAAGTGGGTGGTGTGTTGGCACCCAAAAATAAATCTTCCCTGAGAAGGATGGGACTGAGGCAACATCTGGCCTGGGTTGGAGACACATCTGGAAAGGAGGGGGTGGGGAGGTTGGCAGGTCAGCGTCCACAAGGCTGCCTGGGCCCCTCTGTGGCCACTAATTCTGTCCTGGGAGGGGGGAGAAGAGGTGACTGGCCAGAGCGTCACCGGCAAGGTGCCTAGTTGTACCCGCATAGATTCCCTGCACCGGATTAATTGTATTCCCAAAGTTCGGTGCTGGAAAGACAGCAGTGGTCCAGGTGACTACGTTCCTGGAACAGTAGGTAATGTCTGCCTTGGCTGGTTCGAGAGGCCTGCTTGAGCTAGGGAAGCCCTGACTTTGGCAGGATTGCATGGAGGGGCTCAGCCTTCTAAGAGGCAGAAGGAGATGAGAGGTCTGCTTTGTCTCCAGACAGGGGGAGAGGGGGGAGGGGTCTCCCCCTCCCAGTGAGGACAGCCGCTAGCACCTGGCTCCCTCATCAGCACCCATTGTGACAGGCAGCCCCGAATGCAGATGGTGCTGATGTGTCTGAAACAGTTCCCTCTTCTCTCCAATAAACTCAGCTAATTTTAACCCAGAGGCTGAGCATGAGGGGGTGGGAGGCAGACGGACATCCGGAAATGAAGTGAGAAGCTGTCCTCTCTGCCTCCCCACCCCCGGACCATCCACCCCTCTCTCTGCCAGGGAAGGACTCTCTGTGTGACCCTGAGTGCTGTAGGGTCTCTTAAATCTCTTAGGGACAAATCCCACAGGCTCCTCCTAGGCTGCTAAAAAGGGCTAGATGACTAGAAGGAGGCTGGATATAGATGCAGAGTGGGTGGCCTCCTTCCTACTGATTTCTTCATCTCTGAACTCCTCACCTGGACCCTCACCCAGGAGGACAAGGGGGCTCCAGACTTCGCCTGTGTCTTCCCCTCATACTCCCCTCAGGCCCTGTCATCCCCAGCCCACACTATACTTTGTCTGGCTTGGGCTCTCTGGAAGGAGGACTGGGCCATCTCCTGGGGGTTGGGAGAAGGTGGGGGCTGGCTGGAGACAGCCAAAGGCAACAAGAGTGGCTGGCAGGATTATGGACTCACAGTCATGAAAGGCAACTGCTTTTGCTGAGGATTCCACACTTACAAAGTCACTTCCTCCAGAAGCCCTCCCTGATACCAAGAGCAGAGAAGAGAGCCTTCCATTCTCCCACTGAGAAACAACCCCCCCTCAGGGTACTTAGTTGAGCACTTGGATGCTCTGTCACTGGGGCATGGGTTCTGCTACAGCACTGGCATCTGGGTCTCCTTCGTCACACAGTGTGGGCAGCAGAGATGCTCTGCAAGGCTGTGCTGAACAGGAGTTGGTTGTGGATCCCTAAGAGTAGCCAGTCCAGTCTGGAGGGGATGTGGATTTTTGTGTGTGGGTCAGTGAAGGCAACTGATTTTTCCAACACCTGGTACGGAGGCTGAGACTGCTCTGGGCCCTTGGAGACAGTGGATTGACACGCCAAAGATGACAATCTTTGAGCAGAGCTTGGATCTCACTCTGGGAGTGATCATTCCAAAATACAAATCTGCTCCTGTCTCTCAGGGCTCACCCCACAGCACCTCCACCTGGTAGCAGCCCCTGGCATCCTTACCCAGCTTGGTTTACAGGCTCTTCCTGCTCAGTCCCTGCTGACCCCAAGCCCACCTCCTGTGCCCCTACCCTCACTGTCAGTTCCATAAAAGCTCAGTACTCTCACATCTACATACCTGCTACTCAGCCCAGAAGCTATTCTTCTGGGCCTCACCCACTCCCTGAATGAGTCTAATTTTCACTCCAGTTAGAGCTTTAAGGTCACTTCCTCCAGGAAGCCCTCCCAGCTTGGGTCACAGCATGTGGTTTCTTGTAGGGTTGTTTGTGTCTCTGAGGTAGGAGGGAAGCTTCCGGGGCATTCTGAGCCCCTCCTGAAGTAAGGCCTTGAGTGGACACTGAGTTATTGTTTGCTGAGGCTGGACTCACAGCAAGGAAATATCCTGGATAAGGGTGGGGGATTTGTCTGCACCTTCAGCCCTTCAGACCCTCTCCTAGTGCCTTGGATTTAGGGTGATAAGTAAGGAAAAACTGGCAGGGTCATGGATCACTGCCTGCCCAGAACCCCTTCCAAGAGGGGACAGTGAAGTGGTAAGTTCATAAGGGAGTTTTCCCACCCTGACTGCACGTTATAATTACCTGGGGAATAAAAACAATCAGATGCCTGGGCCCACCCCCTGAGGGCCCATGACCTTGTCACCTGGAACTGTGTATAGGCTGGAACTGGGCAGCTGGCAGGGCCTCTCTGCGGGGTCTCACGAGTGCCCTCTGTTTTAGGAGACTGTCTACACCTACCTGTTGGACAGGGAGTCGCGGCTGGTGTGTGAGGACCCTCCCCACGAGCTGCCCCAGGAAGGAAAAGTGCGGTGAGCCATCCTCCATCCTATTGCCCTCTCTTATGGTCAAGGACCTCAGGCCTGGGCACCTTTCAAGGTCATCTGGTCTGACCCTCCCCATCTGAACTTGACCTCAGCTTCCCTGCCAGGTGGGGTTCCTTGGCTGGGTCACTGACTCCAGCATAGAGGGGAGAAGCAGTGTCTTCTTTTGTGTTGGGCTGGGGAAGTGGACGGCACAGGGAAAGTGCCAGCTGGTCGGTTTTCTCCCAGAAAGTTCTAAATTGCTGCCGCCTCCTCAGAGCCGAGTCTCAGAATGCCAGGGCTACAGTTTATCATTTAGAACCCCAGCAGGCTAGGGAAACTGCCTGGAAGGTTCTCACAGAGTCACAGAATCACAGAGTTTGGGATCACTGAACGCTGCACTTGTAGGAGTACACGGGCATTGGAGAGCAGAGCTCAGAGGTGCTGTGTTGCTGTGGGTTCTGGAGCCCAGTTGCCTGGGTTTAAATCCCAGCTCCCCATTTAGTAGCTGAAAAACCTAGGGCAAGATATTCATCTTGCTGTGCCTGGGTTTTCTTGTTTGCAAAATGTGATAATAATAGTACTTATCTCATAGGGTTGTTGGGAGGGTTAAATGACTTTAACACATGTAAAGCACTTAAAACTATGAATGCTAAATGTCTGGCTTTGTTTTCATTGTGACAGAATGTTGGAATCACTGACTTTAGAAATGTGGGCTCACTGCCCCATGGTCCCCTGACACCTCTGAGCCTATTGAATCCAGCTTCCTTATTTTCCAGATGGGCAAAGCTCATGAGATGTGTCCTATGCCACATACCTAGTGTGAGGCAGAGCCAGGCCTGGGACATGGTCTCTTGGCTATTGGCCATTCAGGGAACAATGAGGGGAAGTGGAACTTGTCAGATGAGAAAGTGTTGACAGGCAGGAGTGCTGGCCCAGAGGAGGGCAGGGCATGGAGGATGTGCTCACTGACTTCCAAGCACCACAGGGCCATCAAGGGCTAGGGAGCACTGGGTTGGGATCTGGGGACTGAGTGGGCACAGGGGTGGGGAGGGGTGTGTGTGTGTGTGTGTGTGTGAATGGAAGGCAGCACTTTACTCCCTGGGGGGAGCTTTTCCAACAGGCCAGGACATCCAAGGCTGTGGCTTTTTCAGGTAGTAGCTGAGGCTGGCAAGATACTCACCTTTACGGAGGCCATGGAAAGGATTGCTCTTTGGAGATGCTGCAGGTCCCCATGCAGGGCATGCCGGTGGTCCTGGATTCCTGGATGCTGGTCTTTTCCCCAACCCTTCCCTGTGGAAGGGGCTGGCATCTCTCCAATACTCCAGGGCCTTCCCACCTCCTGTTCTCCCATTCCATTTCCCCACAGGGTGGGGGGTGAGTGTCACTCTCCCCTTCAGCATTTCCTGACCACTCCTCCCCTCAAGGATTGTGAAAACCAAGCCAGCCATGCCCCTCTCTGCCTCTGCTGTCCCATCTGTAAGATGGCAGCATACAGCAGAAAGATCTTTGGAATCTTAAAAAAAAAAAAAGCTATAATGTCCTCCTTTCTCCTCTGAGCCAGCACCCCCACCCCTAATTCTCAAGAACTTTGCTTAATCTGAGCTTGCCCTATCCAGGAAGATTTTTCAAAGCAGCTAGAAAGGCCTTCTTAGGAGAGGGGCACAAGATCCTGGGCTCAGCATCCTGCCGGGTTCACTCTGCCCTTTCTGAGACCATAAACACTCCCTTCAGGCTTTCTGCTGCTAGGGATGGGGGTCTGCAGTCCAGGCATCTTGGAGAGGGCTCAGATTCCTTCAGTATCCCCCAACCCCCAACCATTTCAGACTTAGTGAAGCCTTTGGAAAAGGTACAAAAAAGAAAAAAGAAAATTAAGAATGAATGTCTCAATACAATTAGCCTAGAGTTCAGTGGAGATAGAGAGAAGAGTGCCTGCTGAGAGACAGGGCTAGAAATCCCAGGAGGCCCAGGAGTAAGGTGGGGGAGGGGTGATGGGGAAGGGGTGTCTCTTGGGACATGGAGATCAAAGTTCATTCAGGCTGGCAACAATTGAGATGAAATCTGCACTCCACCTTCATGTCTGGTGGTCAGCCCACCTCCTCCACTAGGGCTGAGACATAGGGATGTGGAGAATGGGAAGAGCACTGGAATGAGAGTCAGGCAGGCCTGTGCTGGTCACATGCCTAGCACACAGTAGGAGCTCAGAGATTGCTGGTGGCCCTCTAACCCCAAGTCCTAGTACATTTACTCAGCGAGTGACCTTGAGAAAATTACTTCCCAGTCTCTTTTTCTAGAAAATGGGCGGGGTTAGTTACAGGGTACTTCCAGGGACGATCTCTGTGGCACTGTCCCCAACAGGAGGCCGAGGTGGAGCCCAAGGCTCTGGCAGTGCCCGGTGCAGGGGGTGCTCCTCCAGGAAACCCTGGAGGACTGGCAAACAGCAGCAGGTGTGAAGTGGAGACGGGTCATAAAGACAGATAAGGCCAAGAGGAAGGGCAGAGAATGGGCAAAGGGTGGTGTGGGGCGGCAGGGTGGGGATGGACCGCGGGGCAGTGCGGCGGTCACCAGCTGCCCAGCCCCTCCTGCCAGTGCCCCTGCCGCTCCTCGGGCCCGCAGACTCGCAGCTGCACCTTCCCGGGGTGTTTTGGGCTTCCTGCCTCCCGGTGCTGGATGTGCTCTCTGCTTCTCGGCCAAGTCCTGCCCTGGTCTCCATCCCGACCAGCCCACGTTCCACTTCTCTTCCAAGGCCCAGATGGAGGCCCTCTAGGAGGCCTGCTCCGTAGTTCCCTGTCACTAAGGAAGGTCCAGTTTTCAGAAAAGGTGCCTTGGGCCGTGGTGGCTCCGTCCATAAGCAGAACCCTGGGCCGAGAGTTGGGAGATCTGGGATGCAGAACAACATGGCTGCAGTACAATCTCATGCAGCCTCTCTGGGCCTCAGTCTGTGCTTCTGTAATATGACAGAATCGGACACTGACATGTGAGGGCTGGTCCAGCTCTGGATTCCAAGTTGCTGCAAGGGGCCTCAGGGCTGGAGGGGAGAGAATCCTGGAGGTTGCCTGGGCGAAAGGCTTCTTGGAAGGTTTCACCCCCTCTCTTCTTGGTGCCCACTCTATCTCCCAGACTGTTTCGGTCCCCAGTCCTGCCACTTTCCTCTTCTTATTGTGTTTCCTGCCATCTTAAAGCCTCTGATTACCCACTGCTGAGTGCAGCAAAATCTGGGGTCCTTCAGCTGCAAGGGAGACACCTCCCGCACCAGCCCCAGCTGTTTGTCTACCTCCACTACCACTGAGGGGTCCCAGGGCCCAACCTTGAGAAATGTCTTCCTCAGAGCTTGTTCCCTCTCACTGCAGAATCTGCCTCTCCCCCTGATTTGTCCTGAGGGCACAGGGAATAGCCTATTTCCCATCTCTGGAGTCTCACTCTCTGGGATAGGGAAAGGAAGAAGGGGATCCAGGTCCTGGCCTGGTCTCCGAGAGAGAGAGGAAAGCTCAGACTGTGGTCGAGGCTGGGAGTGGGGGTGTCAGTAAAAGGCTTGAGGTCACACTAAAGAAGGGTCTCAGATGAGTGGAAGGGGGCCTGGACATCCAGGTTTTTCCAGGCCATTGAACCCACCAACAGAAAGCCTTTCCGTCTACTCTTTCCACTAAACAAATAGTTGTTAAAGGGACGGAACTGTCATAAAATCCACACCCCTTCCTCTCTCCACTCTGTGCCCATCTGTCTTTATCTTCAGTGGGGCAGATCATGACCACCCAGGCGCCCTGGGCCTGAGTCATTCATTAGCCTTCAACCTGGACAGCTGGCCAAGGGTGTGGAGTCCCCTCGCCCCTCAACATCAGCTCGGAGAGGGAACAGGAGAGTGGGAGAGTCAGGAGGGGAAAGGAGACAAGCAGACCTGGGGCCCTGAGTTGAGGAAAGAGCCATCTGGGGTGTGAGCAGTAGACAAAGCCCCCTCCCCCATCTGGGTGGGACAGCAGTTTTGGGAAAGATACAACAGAAGAAAAACAGCTCGAATGGGGATGGGTTGAGGTGAGCATGGCTTGTCTGGGGCCACCTATGGCTGGGCCGGGGAGGGCAGGTCACAGAGCAAGGTACCAAGGTGTGGGACTCTTGAGGGCTGAGGATCTTTGGAGGCCTCATCACTCAGAGGGAGATCTGGGCCCAGAAAACATTGACCTGCCCCAGCCCAGACTCTCCTCTGCTGTCCAGGGACCACTGAGACTACGGGGTGCTCACTGAGACTGGGTTTCTGGTCTCTCAGATTCTCCCCGTCTAGTGAGAGTTATTCCCAGCAGCCAGCAATCAAACCTGACTTTTACGTTCCTCTGCTGAAGTCCTGCTCAGGCCTCCCACTGCCCTCAGGTTCAAGCCCAGCTCCTCAGGGCCCTGGTTCCCTTCCTGCTGTCCAGCCAAACCAACTCCTTACAGTTGGACTGTCCAGCAGACACACATTCTTTCTCTCCTTTAAACCTTTGCAAGGGCAGGGTTCCCCCTGCTTGCACATTCCTTCCTGTCTGCCTTGTTAACCTCTGAATGTCCTTTAGGACTCAACTCTGGCATCTCCTCCTCCAGGAAGCCTTCTATGACCCCACTTCCGTTCTGTACCTGCGTAGGCTGGGCCCACTCTTCCTCCCTTTGTCAGAGCCCTCACTCTTGCACTCAAACATTTGTCTGCATGTCAGTCCCTGCATGACATGGGGACTCTTGGAGTGAGGTTTATATCTGCCTCCTTCTCATCTCAGTCCTCAGTATCAAACCTGACTCAGAAGGACCCTGGAACAAACACTCCATGGAATGAAATGTTTCAAATAGAATGTTCCCATAAGTAGTATTTCATTGAGAAAACTTGTTCTGGCTCTAGTACAGGGGATGGATTTAAGGGACATGACAGGAGGCAGGAGACTAAGCGAGAGGTTCCTACAGGGTCAGGGGAGAGGTGGCTCTCTGTGAGCTGGGAAGTGACTTGGGAATGGAAAGCAGGGGACAGCTGTGAGAGCTGCATGGGAGGTGACTCACCCATTGGCTAGGGGAGGTGAGGAAGAGGGGGGCAGCTAGGACAGTTTGTGAACTAGCTTCAAGGGACCCAGTGGATGGCTGTGCCACTTTGGAGGTAGTGGTGGTAAGGGTAGGTTCAGATTGAGACTTGGCAATCTAAGGGGTATTCAGGACAAGCCTCCTGGAGGCCTTTGGATGTCTGGAGCTTGTGAGGCGGGGAGCTGGAGAGTCTCGAGGCCATAAGCACAGAGTGTTGTGCAGAACAGAAGAAAAACTGAAGGCAGATTCCTTCATCAGGGTCCCTTGGTGGGAAGGAGGGAGGCCAAGGCAGCCCTGGATCCTGGAGCGGTCTGGGGTCAGTGGAATAAAGCTGCAGAGTCCACTAACCAGCTAAGCAGGGACCAGCGCCACCTCGTGGCTGCCCAATAACCAGATTGTCCCACGCCATGTGGCTGGATGGGGTCCATAAGGGTGGTTTGCCTGAGGGTCACCAAGGTCAGCCCCTGCTTCCATGAAGTCCCAGCCTTTATCAATTCAGTCATCAGAAAACGTGGCTTCCTTTGGCCTCCTGTCACCCTAGATTTATTTTTCTTCCTGGGGTGATTGGCACAGTCACAGCCCAGAACTGGATCCCAGTACACCAGGAGCCTTAAAGGTCCAGAGTGTTAGGGCTAGAAGGTGGGAGACACGGCTGGTTCTTGATAGATTCTGAACCAGGGCCCAGGAGCGAACAGGTCTGGTCCAGAAGGCTACGTTGTGACCTGCTGAGATGCTCAGCCTCTTTGTCCTCGATTTCTCTAGCTGCTGTGATCTCCTGATTGGGAGACTTTCAGAGTGCCTGCACTCTTCTTCATCTGACCTTTGCTGGTCTCCCCTTAGTGACCCCCCCAACACACACACACACACACACACACACACACACACACACACACGGGAGTCCCAGCTCCCCAAGCTGTTCTTCTAGCTACTAGGCCAGGCAGTTCCTACAAACACAATTAAGTGGAGGCAGCATGAGAGATGAGGAACCCAGGACAATTAATCATCAGGGAGTGACATTTGGTGAAAAATCAGGCACTTAATTAAGCAGGAAGAGCCAGAGGCTGAGGGAAAGGGGGAGGGAGAGGACGGCATGTGTGGTGAGGGCAGAGAGAAATTCATTCTTCCACATCCATCTCCTCTTCCCTCCATCACACCTACACCCTTTGCCTCCTCAACATTCATGCCTACTCCCTACTGGAGGCTCACACGCCCATAGGTCTTTGGGAAGGTTCAAGCATCCTGCTAGGAGTATGGGTTCTGGCGCCAGCTGGTTGGGTTCAAATCCTGGCTCTACCACTTCATAACCATGCAACCTTGGACAAGTTACTTAATCTCTTGGTACCTTAGTTCCTCCACCTGAAAATGGAGATGATTATATTTAATTCAGAGGATTGTCGGGAATTCTGAGCTCATCTATGTAAGTTGCTTGGACTGTGCATGGCATAAAGGGAATGTCTGGTCAACTTTAGTTGTGATGATTATCTGGGAGGCTCAGAGAGGTTAGGTCACTTGCCCAAGGTCAAGTAGTAGCCACAGTAAGATTTAGCTCAGGCAGCCTAGCTCCAAGCCCTGGCTTTCCTTGCTCTGGGGATTTGGGCTGGCCCCTGAGGTACCTTTCACATAGCCAGCCAAAGGCACCAGAGGCTATCCTATAGCTGACAAGGATCCCCAACTCTTTTATTTTTGCCCTCCTCGCGTCCGCCCTGCAGCAGGTCAACTCGTCCAGATCCTTGCACATGTGCAGGGACCAGCCTGCTGTGTGTCCCTGGGCCAGGGCTTGTTCTCTGTGATCCAGGGACTAAGAAGTGGGTCCATGTCCTTTTTTCAGAGAGGCTGTGATCTCCCGGAAGCGGCTGGGTTGTAATGGACTGGGGCTCTCGGACCTGCCTGGGAAGCCTTTGGCCAAGCTGGTGGCCCCACTGGCTCCTGACACCCAAGGTAAGGGCTGGGAGCTGGGCAGGGGCAAGGAGGGACTGTTGCTCCTGCTCCCCAGATCACATCTGTCTCCTGTTTTCATCTCTCTGTCTCCTTTCTTTTGCTCTGTGTCTGTAGCAATCCCTCCATCTAATTCTCTCTCTATTGTGCTACTAACCTCTCTGAGCCTCAATTTCCTGATCTGTAAAATGGGGACAACAGAACCTACCTTGAGGGGGTGTTGCAAGGAGGAGCAAATAAGATAACGCATGTTAAGGGCCTGCCACATGCTAGGGCTCGGTGGCCGGTGGCCGCAGTGATGATGAGTTTGTGCCTGTTGCTAGATGGGCTGTAGCTGTTGTCATGCTCTCTCTGTCACTATCTCTGTTTTTCTTTCTCTTCCTCTCCATGCCTCCTGTCCGCCATGTCTCTCTGCCTCGTGTCTCAGTCTCTCTAGGTCTCTGTCCTCTGTCTCGATGTGGAAAGTGCACAAGACTGGGAGTCAGGAGACCTGACTTGCTGTGTGATCTTGGGCAAGTCACTTCCCCTTCTGGACTTCAGTTTCCCAATCTGTAAAATAGGGGTGCTCAGCCTTACCTGCCTCCCTCCCTCTCAGGGTTGCTGGGAGGATCATAAGAAGGTTGTCAAGTGAGGGGGCTTCCTTCCATGCAGGGGTCTTCACTGTGGTTGTTTTTGTCACCACCTCAGGACTCCCCTCTGTCTCTCTGGGTCTCTGGGTCTCTCTGTGTCTCTGTCCCAGGCTCTCTCTCTCTGTGTCTTTGTCTCCCTCCCTGGGTCCTGGCTCAGTATCTCTGAGCCTCACTGGCCCCGCAGGACCACCTCATTGCCCTCTCCCCCTCAGTGCTGGTCATACCGCTGGCGGACAAGGAGACTGGGGCTGTGGCAGCTGTCATCTTGGTAAGAGCCCTCCTGGGGCGGGATGGGGGAGAGGAGAGCAGGGAAGGGAGAGGTGGGTGGCATTGTGTGTGTGTGTGTGTGTGTGTGTGTGTGTGTGTGGAGAGCAGCAGGCTGGGCTGAAGTTGTAGAAAATGGGGATCTGGGAGAAGTCTGGGGCTTCTCACACCACCCCTCTAGCCCACCTTGAACGGGCAGATGAAGTTGCTGGCCGAGCCTGTGGGCTCGGTTCTGCCGCCTTCTGGATTCTTCTCCCATGTGGAGGGGGCAAGCAGTCTTTTTCTTATCCTAGGAACAGAAGGGTTAGCACCCCCACATCACCATTACCTCAATAAGGAGCAGAATTGGGGTGCAGACAGATAAATGAGCTGGCTTTGGTGCACCCAGGGACTCCTCCGAGCTCATTAAGACAGAATTAAAGGTTTCAGAGGCGCCTGACCTTTCCGGAGCTGCTGGAGGGGGAGGGTGGGGGGAGTGGGGAGAGCCATGGGGAGAGCAGGGAGAGGAAAGGAAGGAAGGGGTATTTGGCTTGGTCTCCTCAGCGTCCCATCTGCCTGACTGGGGGAGACACGGCCCCCTTGGTTTCTCCCGCCCCCAGCTTCTGCTCCTGCAGGAGCAGATCCGATGGGCTGTTGGCAGAGTTCTGAGCACTGCTTGCCTCCCTCCTTTAGTCCCAATCTGTGCCCGAGCTGGCCTCTTCCAAGGGAACCAGGGCTGGGGACAGTGTGCAGAAGTGGAGGTGGGAGGAGTGGCCTGGGTAGCCCACCTTTGTCGAGGAAAAGAGTGGGGCTGTCAGGCTCCTGAGAAGGACTTCCTGTGTTGCGGCCGTGAGGCCTGAGTTAGGGAGGAGCAACTGCCCCAAGGGGAAGATGTCCACAAGGTTGTTCCTCTTGTGGGCAAGGGGATGGTTGCCGTGACTGCTGCTCCCCTTGGCTCAGGTTGGGCCAGGAGTCCAGGTTTCAGCCCTCTCCTAGGGGAGAAAGGCCTGTGTGTATGTGTGTGCTGTGTATTGGGGAGGAAGGGGTTGGAGTCAGATCACTTGAATTTAATTCTCTCTAGCAAAACCCTGCTCTGGGCCCTGCTCCAGGCTGCACACTAGGGCAGAGAGAGGAGTCAGACTCTCCAGGCTTCCCGAAGCTCTCAGTCTGGAGGAAGGCAGGGACACCCTCAGACCACTATTGGCCAAAGGAAATAAATGCAGGTACTCTGGTGGCAGAAGCTGGAGCACAGGGAGTGCCTCACAGTGGAGATAGCATTTGAGTGGGCTATAGGCATGGGTGGAGGTCAACAGGCAGAGAAGAAGGGAAAGGATATTCTAGACAGAAGGCGAAGCGTGAGCAAAGGCAGGGGGGGAGAAGGGTGGTGGAGCGTTGGGGGAAGAGTGTGATCCTGGTGCGGCTGGGGTGTGGGGGTGCATGCTGTTGAGCAAGATGCTACCTGGGACTTTGGCTACCAGGAGAAGTTACCAACAACTGTCCCCTCACCTTCTAGAACACCCCTGGCAATAAAGAGCTCTTGAAAGGTGTTCAGATTATTCATGGTCTGCCTCTTCTGCAAGCCTGTGCCTTCCTGTTCTAGTAGGGAAGCACCCCTCCAGGACGCCCCTCTCCCCGGTGCACACGCATCTGACAGGCCCTGCCCTGCTGCTCCACCCCTGTGCTCCCGAGTAACAGGACCTCACATCTGGGAGAGGCAGCACAGGCAGACTTGAACCTCCCAGCTGCTACCAGATCCCAAGGGCAGAGGGTACAGGGGGTGCCACAGGGCAGATGTTTTGGGAGGGCTGACTCACCAGCTCCTTCCTCAACAAGCCCCATTGCCCTCTCTGAGTCTCTGCTCTTGGAATTCATCCATTCACCCATCTATCAATAGAAGGCATGTTTCTTGAACACTGCCAGGCACTGTGTGGTAGGCGCTGCAAACAGCACTGACGGAGACATACCAGACAGGTGCTGTCTCCACAGACCATAGTCTGGAGGGATCGGGGAGACAGAAAAACCAGGGGGCAAAATAAGGGTAGGATTGCAAATGATAGCAAGTGCAAGCAAGGAAACCAGGAAGCCCTGCAAGGGATGTTGGGGCCTGATGGAAATGTGGTCAATGGAAGGCTCTCCGAGAAATAAGCCGTCCAGGTGCAGGGCAGCCTGGATGAGTTCTGGGCCCCTGCAGCTTGCAGCTCCAGGCACCTTGATTACAGATTCTTTGTGTGGAAAGAATCTTTGGCTCTGTTCTTCAGTTCTGGGATAATAAATCCCTTTGAGGAGTGGGCGGCACTTGGTCTCTGGCATTTGACGTGTGATGTGTGCCCACGCTTCTCCCCAGCTGTGCCAGCCACCCAGCTCCTTACATGGGGATTAGCCATGTTGAAGCTGGTGAGGATGAGTGGTGTGGCAGCTTTGCTGGGTTCTCAACCCCCTCTGCAGCCCCAGTGCCCACCACTGAGTGCTGCCACTGGACCCCAGACAAGCTCTCTGACTAGCAAGAGTAGGTGCAAGTGTGTGTTTCTTTTGGTGAGCAAAAAGCCTTGTGTGAGTGTTGGTGAAGGTGTGTTTGCATATGGGGGTGGAGCAGAAGCGTATGCATGGCTCTTGGGTATTTGAACTCAAGTATCCTATGTACAGTTATGAATGTAGACACTGTGGGTGTGGGTGTGTGGATGTCTTTGAGTTGGTGACTGCACTGTGTGTGTGGGTGTGGGTATGGGCACACGCCTGAGTATCTGCTTGGGAGATTGTGAGTATGGATGTGTGTGATGGGGGCGCTGAGGGTCTTCATGAGAGTGTATTGTGTTTGTGCACATGCTGGGTGGGGAAGGGGTGAGGCAGCCCAAGAGTGTATGCTGGGGTGGGGGATGTCCAGGGGGTGGATCTGGCCTTCGGAAGTTCTCATTCAGCCTCCCAGCTCTGTACTGGGATCAAACTGTTTTGACAGCCCAGGAACTGATTGCCCCCATAGCAACCTTTGGGGCAACTTAGATGGGTCCCAACCTTCCCTTTTCCTGGGAGATGGGTCCAGGTGAAAGGAACAAGTAGATGTCCTCCCCATCTACTAACAATGAAATGCCAATCTGTTTATGTCAACCACATCCCAGCCTCTTTCAACTCCCTGTCCCATGGGAGTCATAGATGGGGCCTCAGCCAGAGCTTAACCTTCAGTCCCACCCAGGCCCTGTCCTGGTCTTCCTGCCTCCAGTGTTGCTTTCTCCGATTCACCCTATGCGCCAAAGTCCAGTTCCTTAGCCTGGCGCTCAAGCCCCCCCCCC